GGGGGGACACGGGGCACACGGGGCACACGGGGGACCGGGGCTGTCCTGCCGCCGCCCGCCGCCGTTGCCACGGGCACGGCGCAGCGATGCTCGGTTGCTGGAAGGAGCCCGGCGGGGCCGGGGCCGGTGCCAGCCCCGGCTGCGGGCACAGAACGTTCCCGGGGGACACAAAGGAGCGGCTGGCACGGAGCATCCCCGGGCCCTGGCAGTGCCAGCGGGAGGGACGGGCCAGGACAGTTCGGAGGCTGCCAGCCCGTCCCAGGGCTGGGGGGTGCCCCTATACCCCCCTGAGACCACCCTGTGCCCCCCTGTGCCCACCCTGTGCCCACCCTGTGCCCCCTGAGCCCCCCGGCCCGCCCCGGGCACTGCAGATTTTTTGGGAATTCCGCCCCACGTGGAGCAACTCCCCCACCCAGGATCCCCCCCCCCAGCGCTGCCCTGGCAGCCTCAAAAAGGAAAAAACGGGAAAAAAATTCCCAGAGCTGCGAGGCCGGCAGGCAGCCAGCTCCGTGCCTCAGTTTCCCCGCACCGTGCCAAGCTGCGCACGGCGTTTCCCAGCTCCACCAGCGGGGGCGGGGGAAAGAAAAAGCGATTTTCCCAGCAAAAGATGGAGCAGGAATTCCGTGCTCCGCTCGCTGCCGCCTGCCCGGGGCGGCGGGGCGGATAAAGCGCCTTTGCTGCGGCCTCGGCTCCGCACGCCCCAGCCCCGCGCAGGGAAAACGGAGCCAGACCCGGCCCGGGCGGGGAAATCCCGGCAGCGGCCCCGGCAGGGCGGGATGGGGAGGGGAGAGCTGGGAATTCGGTCAGGAGACTGGGAATTGTGTGGGGAGACTGGGAATTCGGTCAGGAGACTGGGGATTGTGTGGGGAGAGTGGGAATTGCGTGGGGAGACTGGGAATTCTGTCAGGAGATTGGGAATTGTGTGGGGAGACTGGGAATTCTGTGGGGAGACTGGGAATTCGGTCAGGAGACTGGGGATTGTGTGGGGAGACTGGGAATTGCGTGGGGAGACTGGGAATTCTGTGGGGAGACTGGGAATTCTGTCAGGAACACTGGGAATTCTGTGGGGAGATTGGGAATTGTGTGGGGAGACTGGGAACTGTGTGGGGAGACTGGGAATTCTGTAGGGAGACTGGGAATCCTGTCAGGAGCACTGGGATCTTGTCAGGAGCACTGGGAATTGTGTGGGGAGATTGGGAATTGTGTGGGGAGACTGGGAATTGTGTGGGGAGACTGGGAATTCTGTCAGGAGATTGGGAATTCTGTGGGGAGATTGGGAACTGTGTGGGGAGACTGGGAATTCTGTCAGGAGCACTGGGAATTCTGTGGGGAGCATTGGGATCCTGTGGGGAGATTGGGAATTCTGTGGGGAGACTGGGAATTCTGTCAGGAGCACTGGGATCTTGTCAGGAGCACTGGGAATTCTGTGGGGAGCACTGAGAATTCTGTGGGGAGACTGGGAATTCTGTCAGGAGATTGGGAATTCTGTGGGGAGATTGGGAATTCTGTCAGGAGCACTGGGAATTCTGTGGGGAGAGTGGGAACTGTGTGGGGAACACTGGGAATTCTGTCAGGAGCACTGGGATCCTGTGGGGAGATTGGGAATTCTGTGGGGAGATTGGGAATTGTGTGGGGAGACTGGGAATTCTGTGGGGATCCTGGGAATCCTGTGGGGATCCCGGGAATCCTTTGAGGTTTAGGGTTAGGATTGGGATTTCAGTTTGGGTTCGAGTCGAGGTCAGGATTCGGGTTTCCATTCCTGAGCAGGGAGAAGCTCTGGGCTCCAACAACTCTTTTCTCTCCCCTCGACCCATCCTGGTGAGACCCAACTCTCACAGAAAATCCCCAGCTCCCCTCCTCCCCCACCGCAATTCCAGCAGGGAATTTTCCCGATTTTCCCAACGCGGCTCTGGAGGACGGAGCTGTCCCTGCCCGCTGCCGGGGAAAGCCGATGCCACCCGAGCCCTGCTCAGCGTCTCATCAGCCCCCCTGGCCCGTCTGCAGTTACAGCAGTGACCCATTTCCCCCGGGAACGGCGCCTCGGGGCTGCCAGGACCTGCCAGGAGCTGCCAGGGGCCACCAGGAACTGCCAGGACCTGCCAGGGGCTGCCAGGAACTGCCAGGACCTGCCAGGGGCTGCCAGGACCTGCCAGGACCTGCCAGGGGCTGCCAGGAGCTGCCAGGACCTGCCAGGGGCCACCAGGAACTGCCAGGGGCCACCAGGAACTGCCAGGACCTGCCAGGGGCTGCCAGGAACTGCCAGGACCTGCCAGGGGCTGCCAGGACCTGCCAGGGGCCACCNCAGGGGCCACCAGGAACTGCCAGGACCTGCCAGGGGCTGCCAGGAACTGCCAGGACCTGCCAGGGGCTGCCAGGACCTGCCAGGGGCCACCAGGACCTGCTAGGACCTGCCAGGGGCTGCCAGGACCTGCCAGGGGCTGCCAGGGGCCACCAGGACCTGCTAGGACCTGCCAGGGGTCGCCAGGACCTGCCAGGACCTGCCAGGGGCCGCCAGGACCTGCCAGGACCTGTCAGGACCTGCCAGGGGCAAATTCCCCATTTTCAGCCCCTTCCACGCACCATGGACAGACAGGGAATGGGGGAATGGGGGGGGAAATCCAGCCTGGCACAAATTCCTGCAGATTTCTCATTTTCAGCCCTGGAAGGCTCAGGCTGGACCTCGCACGAGGTCGGGACCCCCTGAGAGCCTCTTCAGGGGCATTTTAGGGACACTTTGGGGACACTTTGGGGACATTTTAGGGACACTTTGGGGACACTTTGGGGACATTTTAGGGACACTTTGGGGACATTTTAGGGAGATTTCAGGGACATTTTAGGGACACCCTGCAGCGGCTCCCTGAGCATCCAGCTCAGCCAGGAGCTGAGCGAGGCCCGGGCCGGCATCCTCCAGGCCTGCGGGCACGGGGAAGTGACAAAAAGCTGTCCCCGAGCCCAAAATGCTCCAGACTGCCGAAGGTTCTGCCCCGGAGCCAGGCGGAGAGGCCGGGCCGGCGGCGGCGGCGCCTCCGGAGGAACCGGAGCGGCGGCACCGGGAGGGGACGGCCACCGCCGCACGGCCACCGGGAGCCTCCTCCTGCCCCGGGACACGGCGGGGACCGGCGGGGACCGGCGGGGACAGCGGCGGCACCGGGAGCGCTCCGGGGCTGCGGAGCCGGGCGGCGGCAGCGCCGCATCCCCGCGCTGCAGCACCGAGCCGGGGACGGAGATTGCTCCAAAAACCGCAGGATTGTGTCCCCTCCGTGTCCCCGCCGTGTCCCCTCCGTGTCCCCTCCGTGTCCCCTCGGGCAAGGGACGAGGTGGGAAGGAGCGCGGAGGAAAAATCCGTGACCTTCCGGGGATGCGGGGATGGGAACGGGAGCGGGGGAGGAGCGGGCTGGGGGGGGCTCTGGGATGCTCAAATCCTTCGGGATGCAGCCCCTGAAAGGCACCAAAAAAATCTGGGAATAACCGGGAAGAAATCACCTTCAGGCTGGTGGGGATGCGGGGATGGAAACATGGAGGGGAGCAACGGGGAAAAGGAGCAAGGGGGGCTCTGCCGGAGCTCGGGGATGCTCAATCCCGCAGGATGCAGCCCCCTGGAAAAGGCATGGCAGCACGGAAAAAAACAGGGAGTAACCGGGAGGAAAAATCCGGGAATAACCGGGAGGAAAAACCCGGGAATAACCGGGAGGAAAAACCCGGGAATAACCGGGAAGAAAAACGCCTCAGCCTTGTGGGGGCAGGGATGGAAACGTGGAGGGCGACATGGAGCAGGGGCGGCTCTCCCGGTGCTCCGGGATGCTCAGATCCTACAGGATGCAGCTCCCGGTAAAAGGCACGGAACAGCACGGGAATAACCGGGGAATAACCGGGAAGAAATAACCCCAGCCTGGAGGGGATGCGGGGATGGATCCGGGGGGATGGGCCGGGCGGAACGGAGCGGTGGTGGGGGGCTCTCCCGGTGCGCCGGGATGCTCCATCCTCGGGGATGCAGCGCCGGAGGAGGGCGCGGAACAACCTGGGAATAACCTGGAAGAAAATCCGCTCAGCCCCGCGGGGCTGCAGCGCCGGGGAGGCGGCGGGAGGCGGCGGGAGGCGGCGGAAGGCGGCGGGAGGCGGCGGAAGGCGGCGGAAGGCGGCGGAAGGCGGCGGGGCTCTCCCGGTCCCTCGGGATGCTCCGCGCTGCGGGCTGGATCTCGGGGAGCAGGAGCGGGGCGCATCCCTCTCCGCACAGACGCGTCCCCCCGCCATCCGCAGCCCCGCGGCGGGGCCGGGCGCTGCCCCCCGCGCCCCCCGCGCCCCCAGCCCGGTTCCCCCGCGGCCCGGAGCCCGGCACTGACCCGAAAGAGGCGGCGGGAGCAGGCGCGGCGCAGCGCGGTCCAGCCCAGCGCGCAGAGCCCGCAGAGCAGCACCTCCGCCCAGCCCAGGTGCGCGTTCTCGGCCCAGGTGCGCAGCGCCAGCCGCCAGCCGCAGTCCCCGCAGCTCCGCGCCGCCGCGGCCAGGCTGCCGTAGCCCCGGCGGAGCAGCTCCCCGTAGCCGGGCATGGGCTCCGGAGGCGGCATCGCGGAGCTGCCGCGGCCGCGGCCCCGCGCAGGCTCCGGCGGGGCGGGCGCCGCGCTCCCCCCGCGCCGGTACCGGCGGGAGCCGCCCCCTGGCACGGCCCGGCCCCCGCGGCGGAGAGCGGGGAACGGGAGAGAGCGGGGAACGGGAGAGAGCGGGGAACGGGAGAGAGGGAGGAAAGGGAGAGAGCGGGGAAAGGGAGAGAGCGGGGAACGGGAGAGAGCGGGGAAAGGGAGAGAGGGGGGAACGGGAGAGAGGGAGGAAAGGGAGAGAGGGAGAGGAAAGGGAGAGAAGGGGGAAAGGGAGAGAGGGAGGAAAGGGAGAGAGGGAGGAAAGGGAGGATGGAGAGGAAAGGGAGAGAGCGGGGAAAGGGAGAGAAGGGAGGAAAGGGAGAGAAGGAGGAAAGGGAGAGAGCGGGGAACGGGAGAGAGCGGGGAAAGGGAGAGAGGGAGGAAAGGGAGAGAGTGGGGAACGGGAGAGAGCGGGGAAAGGGAGAGAGGGAGGAAAGGGAGAGAAGGAGGAAAGGGAGAGAGGGAGGAAAGGGAGAGAGGGAGGAAAGGGAGAGAGCGCGGAAAGGGAGAGAGGGGGGAAAGGGAGAGAGGGAGGAAAGGGAGAGAGGGAGGAAAGGGAGAGAGGGAGGAAAGGGAGGATGGAGAGGGAAGGGAGAGAGCGGGGAAAGGGAGAGAGCGGGGAAAGGGAGAGAGGGAGGAAAGGGAGAGAAGGAGGAAAGGGAGAGAGGGAGAGGAAAGGGAGAGGAGAGAGAAGGGAGAGAAGGGAGGGAGAAAAGGGAGAAAAGGGAGAATGGAGAGGAAAGGGAGAGAGGGAGAGAAGGGGGAATGCAGAGGGAGAAAAGAGAGAAAAGGGGGGAAAGGGAGAGAAGGGAGAGAAGGGAGGGAGAAAAGGGAGAAAAGGGGGGAAAGGGAGAGAAGGGAGAGAAGAGGGAAAAGGGAAAATGGAAAGGGAGAAAAGAGAGAAAAGGGAGAATGGAAAGGGAGAAAAGGGAGAGAAGGGAGAAAAGGGAGGAAAGGGAGAATGGAGAGGAAAGGGAGAGAAGGGAGAAAAGGGAGAATGGAGAGGGAGAAAAGGGAGAGAAGAGAGGAAAGAGAGAAAAGGGAGAATGGAGAGAAAAGAGAGGAAAGAGAGAGAAGAGAGAAAAGGGAGAAAAGAGGGAAAAGAGAGAAAATAGGGAAAAGAGAGAAAAGAGGGGAAAGGGAGAAAAAGGAGAAAAGAGAGGAAAGAGAGAAAAGAGAGGAAAGAGAGAGAGTAGATAAAAGAGGGAAAAGAGAGAAAAGAGAGAAAAAAGAGGAAAGAGAAAAGAGAGGAAAAAGAGAAAAGGGAGAAAAGAGAGGAAAAAGAAAAGAGAGAATGGAGAGAAAAGAGAGGAAAGAGAGAAAAGAGGGAAAAAGAGAGAAAAGAGAGGAAAGAGAAGCC